TATATCTAAAGACAAAAACTTCTTCATTAATCATGTGGATTAAAGATGCCTCAAGGATCCATCACCTCATTCTCTAATCCTGCCTGGCTTAGAAAGGACCATTTGGTCACGATTATAATTTCAGATACATTTGTTTTGTAACTATTAAAGTTATCAAATAATATTACAGAAGTTTTACTAAACAGAGAAATATAGTTTAATCATCCACAACCCCATACTCTAATAGGAAGCAGTTATTTTAGATTTTTCTCACAGGTGCTTTCTGTATTTGTAAACATGGTATCCTTACAATTTGGTAGCTTGCTTCCTTTACTTAGCATGCCAGCTGACTTGCCTACATTTAAGGGCCTTAACACAGAGCAGAAGCAGCCTGTGCTCTTTAGGGATTCACACCTGGGTAAGGGAAAAGGAGTCGAAGTAAATGATTGAAGCATTAGAAATAAGGTGACCGACTGTCCTGGTGTGCCAGGGAACTTAACGGGTTTTAGTGTTGAAAATGTCATGTCCTAGGAAACCCTCAGTCCTAGACAAACCAGGATGATTTCTAATAGGTTATTCTATTAGAAATAAGTGGCCCCAAGTTCAGACATCCTTTGTCATTTCTACATCGGCCTTTCAGTGGCCTTTCTTTGCCTTTTTTCTCCTGGTAGTCACCCTGGGACAACTGGTCACAAACTCTGCACCCCACACATCCACTTGTTGCTGCAGATGAATCATCACGCATCATGTAGCCTCTGTAAGTCCACTTACACTGAGACAACGAGAGAGGAAAAGCAAGTAACACCTGAGTATTGTGAAAGTCATTTTGTCACCTCACAGACCCCGTGAAAGGATCTTAGGGACTCTGGGTCTTCCCCAACCACCGGGGGAGACCCACCAGCAGTCCCTACCCCTTTCGGCACAAGGGACTCATTTCATGGAAGACAATTTTCCCACAAACCAGGATGGGGGCCAGAGGGAGACGGTTTCAGGATGATTCAAGCACATTGCATTTATTGGGTGTTTTGTTTCTATTATTATTGTTATTGTAACATATAATGAAATATTAATAATTATACAACTCACCATAATGTAGAATCAACGGGAGCCCCGAGTGTGTCTTCCTGCAACTAGATGGTCCCATCTGGGAGTGATGGGAGACAGTGACAGATGACCAGGCATTAGATTCTCATAAGGAGCGCACAACCTCGATCCCTCACATGCACAGTTCACAATACGGCTCTTGCTCCTGTGAGAATCTAATGCCGATGCTGTTCTGACAGGAGGCGGAGCTCAGGCGGTAACGCCAGTGATGGGGAGCAGCTGTAAATCCAGATGAAGCCTCGCTTGCCCACTCACCACTCACCTCCAACACGCGTCTGTGGCCCAGGGTCGGGGACCCCCGCTTTATACTATAGTCTTCATGTATGTTACATCTACATATGTTATAAGCCTCACAATACAATGTTATAATTTTTGCCTGAAAAAGATTTACATATTTTAAGGACATCAAAAGAAAATTGTATTTTATATTTACCTTCAAATTGATCATTCTTTTTTTTTTTTTTTTTTTTT